CCTGTTTTATATAACCAGGCTTGTTTCTTGCACCATCTAAAGGTACGAGTCTTCAGGTTACTTCACTCAGGTGAGTTTTCCAACACGCCCCACGTCTGTTAGAGTTACACCACAGGTAAAGAATGTTGTATATGTGGCCACAGCCATGCCGCCATTTTTCTTGTCAAATTAGGCCACACCGCCTTAATTTTATGGATGACATCCACGCGCGCATTGATTTTCGCCTGTTCTATAAAAAAAAGATCACGTCCTCCAATACTCTGTCCTGGCTCTAGGCCTGGGTAGTCCATGGTAGTTAGCGACAATACGGAACCGGTGGTAACTCTGGAGGACGGCATCCATGCTACCGAAGCTCTAAGACTCAACAACTCTGTATATTTACAGTGCTTTTTCATAAATTCCGCAAAAAGTGCCGCCGCAAATTCACAATACCAGCTTTGCATACCTGTGGTTTAGTAGTATTTTTATTTTGGCCGGAATTTTGTTTATTCGCCCGCACACAGATAAACTGTTGATGCTGAATGAATTAGAAAGTATTAACGCTATGTCTGTATGGTTTTGAAATTATCGCTCCTTTGTTGGTACAGTTTGATCTATAGTGTTTAAGAGGCCATGATGGTAAATGGGGTATATGCTGAACGCGCTACATGTATACATGATGCTCGGTCTGTTCCACTACCGTAATATTGTTTAGGGAGAGAAATGATATATTTGTGGGTCTGTGTTTGCGCTACAGGAAAGGACTAGATCCATCTAGTCTTAGTTACGACAGGTGTCACTAGCCAGGTGGAGTGTATCTATCTGTAGGGTCAGACCAGGCATGGACGGAAGAGAACAGGAGACGATTGAGGAAGGGGAAGAGTCAGGGTCGACGTCAAAGGATTCCGGGTCTGAAGAGTCCGGGTCAGAGGATTCCGGGTCTGAAGAGTCCGGGTCAGAGGATTCCGGGTCTGAAGAGTCCGGGTCAGAGGATTCCGGGTCTGAAGAGTCCGGGTCAGAGGATTCCGGGTCTGAAGAGTCCGGGTCAGAGGATTCCGGGTCTGAAGAGTCGAGTTGGAAGAAAAAGAAGGAAGCCGAGGAGGAGGTACAGTAGAGTAAAGAATACATAAAGTATAGATTTTACACACGGACAAGCCCCACAGTGCATATGATGGTGTATATCTGTAACAGGCCTTTTTCGCTAGCCTGATGTAGATGGGTCCGCCCACTGTAAGGGGCTGTACGATATTTA